GAGACGGACCCAACGCGGATTAGAATAAACATATCTCGTTTCAGCCAATTTGAAATTCTGACACTCAAAATATGGATGTTAGCTAGTCGCAATCTGGAAAAGATGGTTGCAATAGTTTATGAAGAAGGACAGTTGAAAGTTTGGACTTATAAATTTAAAACCTGAACCCCATACATAAAGAGTTAAAATACCAAATCAGTCTAAAAACAATTTTAAAAAATGTTTTTTTTCTGAGAGAGTACTTTTTTGTGTCTAATTTCATAACTTAAAATATAGTCACAGTTAATTAATTAACATATTCAAAGTTAAGTCTTCGTAATATTATGGTTGAGTACGTAAAAATCCAATCATTTGATAAGATCAAAAGTTATTCTGAGGCGTTTATTTTGTGCACAGTATATCAAACTTGGCCATTTTAACGTAAGCTGGATTAGAACACACGACTCTTATTATAAACAAATTATTTATTTGATCTAAAATAAAATTTAACTCATAGTACAATATAAAAAATGCTACCTTTTTCACATTAATTTTGAATCTAATGAAATTTTTCCATTGACAAGTTATATGTATTTTGCATTTGAAATAATCGATTTAAAATCAATTAAAGAAATTCACCGTGTGATAAAAAAAACATTATCCTGTAATAACATTTATAAATGAAATGATATCTATAAATGTAAAGAGGGAACACAAGTTAAATTAACTTAATGAAAATAAATAGTTACTTTTTATGTCCGTCGTAGTCTTCGAAGAATCTCTGGGGGGTTCGTGCTTCTTTTTTCTAACCTCCTTGCATTCTTAAAAAAGACGAACACTTTTAAAAATCTAACAGGTCTCCTTGAACATGAACCTAACAAAACACACGCTCAATCAAGATAGAGTTGCACTCCAAAATTAGTTTAAGTTTTAATAAATGTTCAATTTTCTCTTATACGCCGAAAATTTGTAACTGATGTAGCTCCTAATCGTGTAATTTGTTTAAAAAAATATGTCAAAGATCCTTTTTCTCATTAGCCCCTCCCACTTTTCTGTAACAGAAGTTGCCCCCAAGATGGGGCAATTTTAGGATGATCACAAGAAACTTTTATTTTGGTGCCACGCGATCTTGCAAATGCTATCTCGCACGTGTTTTTGACCACAAACAAAGTGCGGTAAGAGATCCTGCCACGTGTATAAGAGATTCTTGGGGGATCTTATCTTTTGGTTGTTCTCCCCTTGTCGCGTGGCTATTTGAATGTAGAATCTAGTAACTACAATTTGTTTATGATCAAAAACACGTGCGAGATTGCGAGTGCTAGGTCGCGTGGCACCAAGAAAAAGTTTCTAGCTAAGAGTAAACAACTTTGATTCTAGCAATGAAATTTAACCAAATCACAACATTTGAAAGCTGCAAATCGTTTGTTGTTGCCTCCTTTTACATGGTGGACGCTACCAGGGCTAAAGAGAATAGAAGGGCTAGTTCACTCCGTTCTTAGAGCTGAAGCTACGATTTCCCTCCTCATGACGTCACTGTGTCCACAGATCTCGGAAGATCGCACGCAAAGCTATTATGATAACTTTGCATCTTTCTCTTTGTAAAAATAAGTTAGACTTTCTCTGGTTATTAGGTTTCAAACTTTACGTAATTAACACATTATTTCCATTCATAAACATAGTTTAAAAAAACTTCCTTGGCCATTATAATAAAAAAATACCATTTTAAACTTATAAAAATATTTTACTAGTTGGCGAAAATGACACTATAAATACTTTATTTTAAAAAGTTCAGTTTTAACTTTAATTATTAAGAAAAATGAAAGCATATATCGACACTTTTTTATCTACATATTCTTTTATAACAATAAGTTGAGTTAAATTTAGAATCCCTGATTTTAAAATATGCCGTTAATAGCAATTTGTTCATACTTAATCATTAGGAAACATCAACCTTAAACGCTAATTACTGAAACAAAATAATAATTTAGGTTCATAATGACATTAGAAATTTTACAATTGTTTATAGATATTTAAATTTACGATGATATAATTTATAGATATTTAAATTGAAGAGAATATAATTTTTAAAAAAAATCATAAATATTTAGAATAACTACATTAAAAAATATGTTATGAAATTAGGAGAATTTCAACTATATACTATATATTTTATTTATACTTTTTATTTACATTTTAATTTTCTTTGACTTTATCCATTTTTTAATTCTTTTCACCTGCCTTTCTTTATGAAGTAACGAGGCGGTTTCTATTTAGATAATGAATTTTTATAAAAGTTCTTTACGACAGAATAAACGTATTGCTGTTTTATATTAACTGTGTCATTTCGGAATCCATTCTTTACATAGTTGTTCATTTACTTTAGGGAACACGAGGAAAATCATATTTTTTCCTTTTGTTTTTCTATCAGAATTTTTGCAAGTTGCAATCGCGTAAACTTGTATTTCGTTAATAGTTTTAAAATTTTGTAAATTCACGGCAAAAACTGAGGAAAGTCATTATAGAAAATAACAAATGTCTTAGAATACGTCACAGCAAGAAATGCTCCAATATTAGTTAGAGCTAGTAAGGCCGAAAGCTCAGTTCTTGAAGTAAAAGTGCGAGCTTTGCGCCAAAGTGACGTCACTAGAGAAAATGGGAGGATTGGCGTGGCGAGAGCTACTTGAAAGGAGTGAACCAGCCCTTCTATTCTCTTTAGCCCTGGTGAAGACCACCCGTAGGGAAAACAGAGGTGGATATAAAAATTGATGGATCTTATGAAGAATTAGAATGCAGAAAGCCTTATCTTTTAATTTGTTCTTGTGGATTTTTTTTGGGTTATTGCGATACTCCCAGTTAACCTCTCGTCCATATTTCTATTGACGAAAAGTTAACCGAGAGTGTCACCTAAGGCCTCCAATACTGTGAATGTAACTGCATTTTGTTTTGATGGTATGTTTAAATACAATGACATTAAAACTATCAAATGAGAACCATCTAAAATATAATTAATCAACAGCCCTCAGCGGGTGGCAGAAAAATTACTGATCAGCGATAGAAAAGGTTGGAGAGCACTGCTTTAGAACATAAGCACTGGCTTTCTTTAAAAGTAACTCAGTTTCGAAAACCGCTTCTTGCAGTTCAAACACTGCCAACTTATCGCTACCAAAAATTTCTCTTAGTGCAGAAAAAAACAGAAATTGGATTTCATTAACTCCTGAGCCAGTATTAGAAGGTTTTGTTCTCTTCAGTAATGTATGGTTGTGCCGGAACGACTGTCATATTTCAATGTGTACAGGCGTAATAACTTTATATTGGTTACCTGTTATGGAGTAATGATAAACTAAAATAAATGTATGCCTGATTTCGGAAGTCAAAATATCATCTGCACAAATTAGTTATCATATTTAAGTTTAAGCCGTCGAACTATAGAAACCTAGTGGAGATGAGACGGACCCAACGCGGATTAGGACACATTATATTTTTTCTTTTGCTACTTTTAAATAAACTCTTGGTATAGTTACTAAGTATAAAAAAATTTAAATTTTATGAATTAATTGTAATAAAAAGGTTTTAATGACTAATTTTTTTGTGTTTAGACATTAAGGGCCGAGTAGTTTGACAGCGAAATACGACCTTTACCCGACCTATATCTCAGGTTTGGGTGGACTCTGGATTGGGTGGACTCGTATTAAAATTTTTCGGGATCTACTTTCTAAAAGCGATTTCATACTTATCTCTAAGTCCTAGTACGCGTAAATCCAATCATTATAAGTAGTAAATCCAAAGTAGCAAATTACATTAGTAAATTCAAAAGTAGTAAATTACATTAGTAAATTCAATCATTACGTCAAAATTTATTCAGAGTTTTCACATTTCCTTCCTTTTTTTTCGGACTGTGCATTTTGAATATAGTTGATAAAATAATGATGTTTCCACACGTTAAAAACACTTTTATTTACAATTTAACTACATTTACATACATGCATGTTTTAAAAGAGATCTTCAAATGCTCTTAGAAAAAATTTATATTATTTTTCTTCCATTTTTGTTTTAAAAAAGACATAAAAAAATAGAAGCAATGCATTAAACTTCGATGTTTAACACAGATATGATATTGTTGTTTAAATTTATGCTAATTTTACTCTGAGTATTAGTTTTTCAAGCAAAATTAATGTGTTGTTAAATAAATATATTGGAGAAGATTATTTATTTAAAAGAGATGCAATTATCTAGTTTTTTTTTAATGTTTTGTTAAAATATATGAAATATTTTTTTCTGAGAGTAAAGCGCCTTCTTTATATTTAATGATTAAAATTAAGATTTTATTCCAACATAATTAACACGTCCTGGTGGATTACTTTTTGCATACTTTCAATGTACAAGAAAATTTTGATTTATCCTAATAATAAGAAGTAATATACGACTAAATACACGACTGAGTGGTTCCCTTATTATGTCCAGCCGCTATCAGCAATTGTTTCACATTGTTTTAATTGTTATTAGAGAGCTCGTGTTGTACTGGCATGTTTGCTGGACTTATATTTCGTATGCATAAGAGTCTATTAACCTAAACATCGTTATTGGATAAGTGCATTCTATAATGTTGATATACATATCAATCATTTAAAACCTACAAAACATTCTTTTGATTCGTCCTCTTTTATATCTATAAAAACTGTCAGCATTCATATATGAAGCCAAGTGAGAGTAATAAAAAACGCGAAAATATCAACCCACGTAGACGTAAAGAAATTTACACTACTGACAAGTGAACGTACCATAAATGGTCAATCACGTGCCCCTAAACAATCCAAGCCAAAACAAATCAAGATTGTAATAAAATAAAAAGATGGTCTGATGAGATATCAGGGGTAGGTCATAAATGGCAGCTCAATGCACTATCGTATAGTATAAAGGCCACTGTAATTACGCCAGTAAAAATTAGTGCATTAATTTACATTTTTTTCTTTCATAATTTAGAAATTGTTTTCTGACTAAACCTTAATTTTAGCTTCAACCTGATATAAAGCGTAATATAAGGGGTCTGTTTAGATGAAATTTGTGTCCGTTAACGGACCCTTTACAAAGTAATTTATCTTTTAATCGGACCCTTCACTAATTTGTTTATCTTCATTACTGTTTTGTTAATTGATTAAGCCCTTCCCGGGGGGGGGGAGGGATAAAGACTGTTTGAGACAAACTAAGTTTCCCTAAGTTTAAATTTCAAATGTAGTATTCCAAGAAAATATTTCTACCTTTACAAACATCGTGTGCGCATTCTTATCAATATTAAATCATAAATTTTTTTTTTGTGTAAATAATTGATCAATTTACATTTATTCAAAAAATTAATTCATGGAATATTGTGTAAATAAAAATTTATTTCTGGCAATTTTTTAAATAAAATATTTTAAATTTAAGAATTATTTAAGTTTACTTAATGCGCTATACATTAAAAGTGATACATTACTAAGTTGTGTTAGTTAAAATATGTCAATTGAAATTATTGAAAATGTGAGTGATTTTGCTTCCATTATTCGTCTGAAATGAATTTTCTGTGTTGAGCAGTATAGGCTAAATACCAAATATTTGTACGTAGCAATCTCTAATTTAGTAGCAGCAATTGTTGAGCAGAATCTTGTATCAATTTACAATTTAAAAACTTGTTGAAAAGGGTTTTAGCAATTTTTGCAATATCAGGACCCTATTTTCACAAATTCACTAAAGCAAGACCCTGGTTGAAAGAATGTGACTTAACGCTTATTTTATCCTCACAAATTATGAATAGTTTTTTCACAATTTTACAAAAACAGGACCTTTCTCAAAATGTCTGGACAGACCCCTGAAAGTGTTGAGGAATTATGGTACAATTCACAATACAGTATCAATATATTGTTTAGATTTAGTAGATTGGTGAAACACTATAACTTCTGTTGTAATATAACATATCATTCCAATGATTAACACAGTAAGGGCAATGTAAATTTTTGGTGCGACACAAAGAAAGTTGCTGCTTACAAAAGCAATTATAAATCCCACTGATTCCCAAAGTCTGTAGGTGGAATAGGCTGCTTCCTCTTCGGATCGAAAAAGTACACCGTAAAATGCTGCAACAAATGAAAATAATTTTAATCAAATCAAAAGCCCTAGTGGATTAAAAAGATAATTTATCAATATAAAAAACAGTTTCATGAAAAATCGCCTATTTGTTGCCTTTCAAATTTTATATACAAAATTATTGCATATGACCTGTCTTGACGTGATGACTCCAAAGCAGAAAACAATAAGTGCGATTTTAGTAGATGTAATTTAAAGCATATTTAATAAGTGGTAAGCCATGGGAAGCAATAAGTTATAATTAACTAAAAAACTTAGTTCATAGCTTTCTTAACTTCAAGAGAATTTCCATACCATAGGATGGTTGATGATTTTATTTCTCATTTACATTATTAGTGTTCTTAAAATCTACGAAGTCTTAATATCAATACATAGAATGTCAAATATAAAATTATAGTAATCGCTTGGAATATAACCAAGTCTGAGTCTCTTTCGCTTCCTGAATAATTATGAATGAAAACTGATATATTATAATTTTGAAAATAGATTTTTTTTCCGTATTAATTTGTTGCCTTAGCATTTTTTTTGTTGGAATAGTACTATAACAACTAAAAAAAAATTCTATTCAAGCATTAATATAAGCAAACATAATTACATGAGTTTTCAAATTGGGCATTTTGTGAACAGTTTTAAACATTTTAACTATTCTAATTACTCAATGAATATTAACAGAACTAAAACTGTAGTAAATCCGTATAGTATGTCTAAGTCACTTTTTGTGTTCTTTTTTATACAATGAACTTTATTTAGCTTAATGTTCTTCCTATTGCGTGAAAACATCATGACACCACATCAGTACTAAAGCATTAGGTTTATTTTTTAGTAATGCTCTTTTTGCTAGAAAAAATTACGAACAAAAATTTTTTTTTTAAATTTATGGCATGTTTAAAGTAAATATACTTACTATTTAACATTGTTTGCAGCGTGCCATCACTAACACCCCATATTCCAGCCAATATGAAGAACATAATGTATTCTCCATTGTTTGGATGCCACAATAAAAGAACGATGCTGACTGCAATATTCCCAGCTGTACCAATCAGCATTATTACCACTCGAGGTATGTACTTGACAAGACGACCGGCAGTAAATGCGGTAAATGCATCTACCACGCCAATAAACATGAAGACAAGTCCTACGTGGTAAATTCCCCAGGCACAAGCAATATAAGCCTTTGCATATGAAATAAGTAAATGATATTGATTAATTAAATTAATATATGAACTTAATATCTTAGCAATCACAAAAATATTTTAAATACTTAGAGATCAATGGGCAAGAACGTGATATTTGAAATAGTTTTATAGCTTGGTAAACACTCAAATTTTCAGATTTCGTAATATTTTTTCTTATAACCAGCGTTGGACAGCCGGCTGATTTCTGAGTTTACTACTATCGTTATTCTACTCCGTAGCCTAGTAATTTTGAATTCCAGAAGAGTAGTGAACTTCTGGATCAAGCAGCAGGACTAACTAGCCTTCGTAGCGGACTTTTTTGATGGAACTAACCCGCATTTGTGTTAAATGTAGAAGAAAACCACGGAAACTTTCCACGGTGTCTAGGGGATTCTAACCCATGATCTGTCAAGATATTTTACATCAGCAATGCGAGCCGGGTGCAGAATGCGTATCCAGTCACAACTGGGATTCGAACCTTGTTCACCTCATTGGAAGGCCTTGAGCCACCGAGGCTCAGGTTTAATAATATAATATAATATGTTGTGATCGACTCTAAGCATTAAAATGCAACACTATGCACTGAAGAACAGAGGAGCAGCGAGTCTGAGAGGATGAATAAGCTGGCCACCAAACGAGCCTAATTTCTAACACTTATAAAGATTTACGATGTTACACACCACCAATCTGTGGCCAAACAACTAGTCTCGCCCCGTTTTCAGAAGCTCTATCTCTTAACGGTCATGGTAGGAAAGCCACGTAAAAATGACTCCGATCAGACTACATGGTGAGTACCTGGACTGGCACCCCTCTCTCCAAACTTTCGCATTGCAACCAACGAGAGATTTACTGCTTACCTTGTTTTGTTTCGCCTTTACACGCATTTTGTTTCGTCGGCTGCTGGATCCAGCTCGCGACCCTCATCTATTTAAGGTTTAAATTACTTTCAAGTCATTTTTTTTCAGAAACAACATTTAGTCAACTATTAAAGACTTTAGAATAATTTAAAATATTTAAATGAGAAATCTAGCAAATTAAGTATGAAAAATCTAAATTTAAATTGCAAATGATACGAGTTTAGTAAGTTTGAGTTCGAAGGGGGGGGGGCAAAAAGGTAAGACATGGTCAGTTTGTCCTGCACTCAAATTGATTAATGCATTAAAATATTGCCTACTGTTATTCCAACTCTGTATTACATGTAAGTTTAATTAAGTACTTTTGATTTCTCGCCACAATACGAATGTAAATTCATTTTCTTTACTTTTTAAAACTTACCTGATTAACCCGATTTAAGATTGTAGTAGGAGCATTTTTTTTAACTAAAGTTGGCGAGAAACTTTGGCCCTGACTATCTGACGACTACCAAGAATATTTACATCGATGCTAGGCAAAAGTTGATCATTTTTTGTATTCTGGGGAAAGAAACAGAAAAAGTCATACAATTCTTATCAAGATATTTATAGAAAGAAGTCCATACTTTGGTAAAGTCCCCAACAAAAAATCCCTGCTGTAAACCACTAAAAACTGTTAGTGGCAACAGCAGTATTTGTTTTGGTTTCTTTATTTGATTCAATGTAGCAAAAATTCGTGAAGCTAGACTCTCATTGTCGTCTTCATTTTTCCTTTGAATGGTGTCCAAGAAGACGGCGATGATGAAAATGGCCAAACAACCACTAACCAAATAAATACCGATCAACATATTCTTTTTTTCATCACTCGGTGACTTCAAATTATCATTTAATTCAAAACAATATTCAGCCCCGCACGCTACGGTTTCATTAAAATATGATTTTTCAGTATCAGGTCGTAAAATGAAAAAAGACGCCATATTTCCCCATAATTGAGTACTTTGGCACGCCATAAAGAATACACCAAAAAATCGAGCAGTTACGATTTCTGCAGATTCAGAAGTGAGACTAGCGTACAATACACTAATTTCGTTCAAATAAGTACTTTGTGCTGACCACAAAAGAGGACCGACAAGACCAGAAAGGAAGCTTGCTGGAACTAGAGTGTATATACGAGGATAAAAATTTGCACAAATGTAAGGAACACACACTAATGAACACATGACCAAAGTTGATTTGAGGCCATATTTTCTAATAATAAGTTTTGGTAAAAATAGCGAGGATATGATCATTGCTCCATAAAGAGTGCTAAGTGATATCAGACCAACGTTTTCATCTATGTTGAGAGTACTCTGCAAATTGGCTAGTCCTAGATAAGCACTGAATAATAAGAGAAATCCAATGGATAAAGCGATGAGGTTTTTTAGAATTCTGAGTTTAGACATAGTTGGGTGATTTGTGCCAACTTTCAGAGTAGCGTCATAAGTCTTTACTCCATCAACAATTATTTTGCTTTGATCGGATACCCAAAACACTTTTTTAGCCATTCTTAACCTGAAATACATAAATTATTGGAATTAATGGAAAAAAGTATCTTATAAGTTCTTTAAAAAATTAGCTTTTGAATTTTAATAATTTCGTTATATAATACTGCAAGGAGAAAAAAAGTAAAATTACCGAGCTGTATAATAAAGAGATTTTTAATTAAAAAAAAAGAATAATTCCAGTAATAAAACCAATATATGCGTTATTTAAAGCATTCGTATGGTAACGGTTTCAACGGAAATTCAGATTTTTGAAATTATAGTTCCCATTACCACACATTTAGTAAAAATGCAAAACTGAAAAGCAAATCTAATCGAATAAATTACTTTTATGCCATGCCCTAAGATATTATGATAAAATTACCAAAATTTGAAACGTTTAATAAAACAATATTTTATATTTAATTTTACCAAAAATAATTAAAGTGCTTCGGTAAAAAATATTATAATCTTTAGTTTTCCTGTAGTAAACGCCATACCTTTTTACCATATTTTGGTAGTTTTGACTATACTTTTTTCTCAGTGTATTACTTAAAAATATATACATAGCACTGTTCAGTTATACTTCAAACAATTTGAACCAATAAGTTCTTTCAAAATTATAATAAGCACTGACTATAATCGGTGCAGTATAATTAAATAGTTATACGCATCATCCCGTGTAATGCATGCTAAGCACTTATTTCTGTACAAGTAATTTTGATGCAAAAGCTTATAACCACAATGAACATAAGAACTCACTACTAAATTATACAATAATATACTATTATATATTCGCTGCCAGCGCTGACCTATTAAACAAGCATTTGACCTAAAAGCTTAGAGCTAGAATTATAGGTATAATCTTAGTTATAAGTTAGAATAATATTATATGTATATTGTTCCAACAGACAGTAGACTATACTATTACAATATATGTAATAAATTAATGATATCAATTTTAAAATGCAATTAAATATATAATAGTTAAATATTTGCATTTGTCAACGAGTAAGTTTAAATTTTCAGATTTTATGAAGGAATATAAAAAATTTTAGTAGTGCTAAAGCTGAATAAATTTTTAGGCATTATGTGAAATTTTATTAAAAGCCTTAAAAGAATAAAAACTGGTAAATCTTTAATTTTTTTACTACATCTTTTGGACTTTTAATGTGGAGGCTTCTACTCGCATCAAAAACGCCCATTGCCCAAATCACGCATCATAAATAAAAGCTTAGATATTTTTTAGACTTCTCATAAGCAGAACACTTTCACTAATTATATTATTTTAGGAAAACTGAAAAATTTAAAATTAAAAACTAAACAAATTCCGCATATCATAAATCTGAAACTAAAATTGAAACTCGTTATTTGTGAAAACTTTGATTATTTTTACTACTAAACTAAATTATTTAATTTTCTTTAACATAATTGAGGTTTTGTAGATTAATTTTAAAGAAGTTATATGCATATAAGTCTTTTGAAAAACAGAACAAAAGCCCATAAGTATAAGTTCTACCTGCTAAAATTGTAACGTCAATAAGCTTCTTTTCTCAGAGAAGGTATTCAACGCCGGTACTATATAACTCAGCTAAGAAAATGCAGCTGTCTTCGTTAAAATAGTGACGAATCAATTTTATGTATTTGGTAAAAATAAAAATATTCTTATTTAAAACCAAACAAAAGAGAGCAATGTTTAAAAAAAAATTGAAAATAATAATGATGGAAGACTTAATTATAAGCGACAGCATGACAAAACATTATTTAATATTTATTATAATTTTTTTTTCTATTTTTACATATTATTCCTAAACTATTTTTATTTTCTAATTTTTCGTACATCTAAGGAACAAATATGAATTTCATCGACAAACAGTGCTCTAAAAAATAAGCGGACCACCCTGAATTACTTATGAGCGAATTTTAAAAACACGATTTTTTAAAATTTCGATTTCTCAGAAACTATTCTACTGATTTCGCTCAAATTTTTTATTTTGCCATGTAAGATTACATTCTTTGAAAGGTCGTAAAAAATTTTATACCCTACAATTCAGAATTTTTTCTTGATAATTATAAAATAAAATAATAAATATTTTCTAAGAGTTATTTATAATGAGAAATTATCTTTGGATAAACGGATTTTATAACTAAGTGCAGAGATTTTTTAATACGCTCAAAAAGTTCACGGGATATGGCGGGTAAAATACGCAAAAAATAAAATTAACATTAAGGGATCCAAACTTTGAACCTCTCTCCTGATCAAACTATGGGGACCTTATTTTACAGATTTCGGCTACCCCCTCTAATATGAAGATCAGAAATCTAAATACGTCGAAGAAAAAGTATGTTTATTCAGAGGAAGTACTTTTTGTGTTTGATTTTGTAACTTAAAATATCGTCTGCACTAATTAATTAGCATATTTGAGGACACCCTCTCAAATATTTAAGATTACGTCATAGAACAATCCGAACATTAGATCAAAAGTTATTCAGGGTGTCCGTTTTTTATTTTGCACACTGTACATGGATTGGGTTAAAAAAAAAGTTGGTAATAAAGAAGCGCAATAATGCCATACTTATGATATTGAACGAATGTATTAATTCTACTTGATAAGTTTAACTTATTACTTTATAGTTACTGTATTTTTAATGCAAGCAAATTTATTAATGAATTTATAATATTTTGTTATATTTAGTTGAAAACCATTTAAAAACTATCGCAGAAAACATCCCTAATAAAGCTTAAAATAGAACTTGGTTATTTCCCTTTATAACAAATTGTTTTTTTCTATGATGTTATTTTATTGAGATTTTAAGGTTTGCTTAAATGATGAGATATGCTATATTAGTACTGGACAAATAGAGACCCGTGGAACGCAGGCAGGTCTTTAAAGAATCAACTTGTCAGGATAGCAAAAAATCAAATTTGAACCAAGAAAGGGTGATGAAATTAGAGGAGAACATTATTTTAACGGGGGGGGGGAGGAGTTCATATGTATTTGATACATTTTGTTTGCTTAAAAACATGAGAATAATAACAAAGAATAGCATTATGTAATATTATAGTGAAGAATTGATAGCATACATTTGTAGTTTTAAAATACTTTAAAAAAAATTTCTTGCACATTTAAATACATTTTATAAGAATATATTTTATAATGATTCTTTATGTTATGTTTTGTATTTATGATATCATATTTTTTTACATTATATTATACTTTTTATATTTATATTATATTTTATATTTTTTACATTATTATATTTTATTCGTAATTATTAATTTTTAAAATAACAAATGCAGTAGTTTTTAAAGGTAAGGCTCTCCGCTAGCCTGCATTACAACAGTACTATCCGGAAACCAAAACCAACCAACTGAAGCCCTTTTTACTCTTTATTGTAAAAAGGCTTTAACTAACGTATTTCCCCTGTTGCAATACTTGTTCTGAGTAAAACTAACTTAAATTGAAGAATTCATGTCCGTTTCAAGGCCATAACGTGTGTTTGTTAGTTGACCGATGGCAATCGAGTAGAACAATTGGATTTTCTCAATAAACGTTTAACTAGAAAATAAATTTCGTTTCGTAGTATTTTTTACGCAACCAACTGAACTAAAAACAAACTGTAACGATAAAATGTTTAATCCATAAAAATCTCTTTTTATTTGAAATAAATAAGAAAAAGTGCACATAGATGTATGTTAATTTGGGAAATCTTTGTTAATTATGGAGGAGAAAAATGTACAGATAAGAATTCATAAAATGATACTTAAATGACGATTAAAGAATGTTTTTAATATCTGGCTAATAACTATTAATAATGGCGAGATTTAAAATATAATGTGACCAGTTTGATAGTCTTTCGAAATCTCAAGACGTTTTTATTAATCATCTTTTACTTCCTCTTCATTTTCGGGTAAGTTAAGGGTGGTTTCTACAAAATATCCTTAGTAAGGAGTGTAGAAATGCTTGTACTCTGTTAAAAATTCAGAATCAAGTTACGGTAAAATTACAGGCAGTCTGTGTACCAGTACTTTTTACTATGAAATAAATTTTTTCCCATAAAGTTTTACGGAACAAAAAATTTCATATATCGTAGTTTTTACAGTAGTATTTGCTGTAAAAATACAGGATCACTGTAACTAAATAAATAATACTGTAAAAATTATGGTATAAAATTTCGTGGTAAAAATGAATTTTAAAGTACCTTCTACGGATGGATTTTACGGATGGATTTTACGGATGTTCAAAGTGCGAGTACTTTTATCGCACTTTAATCTGTAACTTTTTTCATGATGTGTAATTATTTTAAATATTTAACAGTATAAAATTTATTTACTTTACTGATGTACACTGAAATCATATTAAATCGCTGCAGACATTATTTCTTCGTATCATTTCATAGTAAAATTGAAATAATAACGCGTTAAAAAATAAGATTGAAATGAACTTGATGAAATTTTTTTAGCAACAAAATCAAGAATGAAGTCAAAATGATAAAACTGGAAAGTGCAACAAAACAAACAAAACGAAACCATAAAGCAGGAGAACAACAACAAAAACAAAATCTAGAAGACTTGTGAGAAGATAAGCAAAAAGAAAAAGTATTATTTCTAAAAAGTTTCGGGGCTGTGGACCTCATATTTATTTAAACAACATAAATCCTTTGATTGCATATACAATTGAAATGATAAGTGTTAAGTTGTTTCAGTTGTAGAGTTAAATTCTAAATTTTAAAATTTTTATATAAAAATGTATCAATTGTTGAGCTGATGAAGTATTTTCCTAAATATATAACATAAAAATAACAACCAGTCTGCAATACTGGAAAGCAACTAAGCCCTTACTAGCTCTAAGGGATATAAAAGTTTTTAAATCATAATATGACGAAAATATGTTATGATATGTAGCTCAAAAATAAGCTCATGTTTGTGAAAATTGCAACACCATGAAGGACTTATGCGAGTGAGCTGAAATTTTCAGGAAATGCAAAGTAAAGCATAATATGCAAATGATTAGAATTTCAGACCCGTAGGGCATGCGTATGCTGAGAAGCGCCCTCTGAACCAGGGCTAAAGAGAATACAAGGGCTAGTTCACTCCGCTCTTAGAGCTGAAGCTACGATTNTAGCTCAGACGTTACTTATGCCTCTTCGACGAAAGAGAGCGAGATTTCAACAACTTACGGAGTTTGAAAGGGGGAGAATCATCAGCCTTCGTGAAGCTGGATTGTCTCATCGTGCAGTAGCCGCTTGTGTGCAGCGTAACAGCAGCACAGTGATGCGTGTTTGGAAGCAGTGGACGGACGAGTGTCAGACAACTCGGACCCCGAAATGTCACGTCAGCTCGCGATGATAGACACCTGGTCCGCATGGCGCTGACAGGCCGTAAGGCTCCCTCTAGACAACTGGCAGCACAGTGGTCAATAGCTACAGGTGTTTCATTGTGTGCTTCATTAATTCGTAGACGTCAACTGCAGCGTGGACTGCGCGCAAGGACTCCTTTATACAGGATCACCATCACGCTAAACCATACTCGCCTGCGGCTACAATGGGCCAATTAGCATAAGGACTGGCATGCTGATTGGCAGCATGTCGTGTTTTCTGACGAATCCCGCTTTAATTTGTGGTACCATTCGATGTGGTACCATTCCATGGCCGCATTCGTGTCAGACGCTATGCCTGTGAACGCCACCTTCCGGTTGCATTATCGAACGCCACAGTGGACGAACACCCGGAGTTATGGTCTGGGGTGCCATAGCATATCATGGATGATCTCAATTGCTACGAATTGTGGGTAATCTGAAGAACAACCGGTACATCAGTGAAGTTTTACAGCCCCAAGCTGTTCCCTTCCTTCAAGCCTTGCCAGGAGCTGTATTTCAACAAGACAATGCCCACCCTCATATTGCTAGGACTGTTCAATCCTTCCTTGCATTGCGGCAGGTACAGTTTCTTCCTTGGCCTGCGTATTCCCCAGATACGTCACCGATTGAACATGTGTGTCATTTCGTTGGTCGTTGCCTCGCTCGTGATCCTCGTCCTGTTGCTTCTACAGACGAACTTTGGGTACACATACAAACTATATGGAATGCTCCTCCTCAGACAGACATTCAAGATTTGCTTGACTCCATGCCACGTCGTGTAGCAGCGCTTATTGCGGTGCGTGGTGGCCACACAAAATACTGATTTCGATCTCTTGTTATTTTTTGTTTGCTTTGAAAGTTTAATCATTTATTTGTACCACTACCACTCAACTGTGTAGTAAATTTCATTCAATTATGACGATTCCTTCATGGTGTTACAATTTTCACAAACAAGAGTTTATCTATGGTTAACAATTTATCGCAATGTATCGTCAGGAAATACCAATATTGCATGACATACCTTTACAAAAGATCGCTATTCCACTGTATATTGTAGTATATTGTCAGGCAACATCAAGATTTCATAGTGTGTCACGACATTTTCATAATTTGTAAAATTTATATGGTTTATACATTAATCAATATTTTTTGCTACCCAGATAAAATTTATAAACATATACCGTGATATCGTGTTCGATAATTTTAATTACAGATAATAATTGTAAAATTAATTTAATCAGAAGTTATCTTAGTCTATTATGATCATGATATTATTGCTTTCGATAATTATCGTTATCCATAATATTCGGGGTATTATCGTACCGATAGTTATTGTTTTTAATTTAATCATATCTATTTCTAGGCATTGTATTTGGAACATATGAGGGCTTTCCTTTAAAATTACTTTTATGATAATAACGACATTTCACTATATTCTAGATTTAATCATTCCCTGAACGAGGGTGTGTAGTACAACTGTTTCACAAAGTGAAATAATTTAATAAATTTAAATTAAAATTAATTAAAAATTAACTAAAATAAATTAATTAAAAATAAATGGAAATTATTTAATTTAAATAAAATAATTAAAATAAATTAAAATTAATTATTAAATAAAATAAAGTAGTAAAAATTAATTATTAAGTGAAGTTAATTAATTAAAAGTAATTAATAAATAAAATAAATTAATTAAAATTAATTATTATGTAAAATAAATTAATTGAAATTAATTATTAAATAAAATAAATAAATTTAAATAATTATTAAATTAAACGAACTAGTTAAAATCACTTATTAAGTGAATAAATTAATTAAAATTAATTACTTAATTTAAACTAATTACAAATTAATTAAAATAAGTTAATTAAAATTAATAATTTTAAATTAAAATAAAAGTGAATTTTAACTCATTCAAGTGAAACTTTTTTCCTTCATTCTGAACTTATATTTCTAATAAATATTAAAAAATTAACTTACTTCAATTTTCTGTAATTTCTTTAACATCAATTTTACATTTAATTATTCTTCTATAACGATTACAATTTTGCACAATCCATAACAACTACACAGAATTCACGCATCTATTGTTTATTTTCTCAAAACAATTCAGAGTAGATGCAAATCTACTCTCAGATAAAAGGCGATATAATAAATCACATTTTTACATCTATCTGTACGAAATAAACGTGACGAAATGTATGAAGAATGAGCTTATCAGTTGAAAACAAATAAAAGTTATTTTAGTACAGTTTCAAACAAAGGAATTTACCATTACAATTCATGAACTTCCATAAAAAGAAAATTTCATAACATTTTCGACTGAGCACTTTTATTTTAACTTGAAATATTTTTTTATTTCTTACATAACTTTCACTAATGAAATAAAATTTTGAATTGTCTATTAAAAGTTTTCATTTAGTAGAGGAATGGAATTGAAACCGCCAATAAATTTTTCGAAAACCTAAATAATTATGTAAATATGGTTTGTAGAATTTTCAATGAATGCAAGGTGTTCCGAAATTATTTTCCTACTATATATTTTTAGAATCCTTGTCAAAAATTATGTGTTAGTTGAAAGGCGAACGCTTCCAAGTTTGACAGGTAAAGAAACTAGTTTGTTTTTCATTCTACTTTCCTCACTAGTGATTGGACAGATTTCAATAATATTTTTTTGTTTTTTTTCCCTGCTTGAATATTTATCTGGGTTTCTCAATGTGTAAACTTTTTTAGTTTCATTAATTTAATTTTAGTTCCATCGGATTCCAACAACCTAAAAGAAATTGGTAGACTTTTTTCATTTTTTATAATTTATTTATAATGTGCAGGATATATAAAATACGATCATAAATTACAAAAGTTTGAAAGCAATCTCTAATGAAATTTTTACTTCGTTTGGCTTTAATAGGAAAAAAAAGCATAATGTATAACAAACCTTTTTTTTTTTTGCTGTAAATATATAAAATCATTTCTAATTTGTAAATATATAAAACTATTGTAAACATATAAAACTATTTTTTTTAAAAGTTCTTAATAAGAAAAAAAAAATATTTAGGTTCGGGAGTCAAAACTTAGTGGTATGAAACTTCGTAGATCCATGACTTCACAAGTACTTACTTCACTTCGCGGGTACAAAGCTTTGTTAATCTAAGACTTCACCAATGTAGAACTTAGGTAAGATTATAATTAGAAAGGTTTTTTTTTCTTTCTTTTTCTGAAGGAATTTATGGAACGGATTAAACACTCTAATGAACAAATCAATTTTTAGTAATAAATTATTTTACTATATGTCAATCATAAATTTCCATGCAAATCATGGACTTTTTTTTAACTCATCACTTAGCAAGTTAAAAATTTTTCAGTACGCCTTGCATAAAAATTCTTTAACAACTGCTAAATTAAAATAAAAAATTATAAAAAAAATTATAAATTTAGTATTGTTACTTTTATTAAAATTAAATTGTTTATGAATTAAAGCCTTTAAAACATTCACTTCTTTTCTAAATTAACATTTATTATACTTTTTAAATTAAAATAATAGAATACGAAAAAATATGTTATTTAATACTTTTGTTGTTGTTATTAGTTATGAATTTGAATTTATTAAATTTATATAACACATAAATAATACATAAAATATTATGCATAATATATAATATTATAGTATATAATATATAATATATAAAATATTTTCTATTAAAATTTTTGAATTGATACGAGCAAAATTTTGGCCGAAAAAATTTTGTTTTTCCTGTTTATTCATGAAACAAAACAAAAAAAGTTTTTTGAAACTCCCAAATTAGATTGTTTATATTTAGAAAGAGATTTGGTAAACGATTGAAAATAAAAACAATAAATAAGTCTGGAACGATTGCTTTGTATAGAAATGTTTCATTTATTTTGATCAACAACATGAAAACAGTTAATGGTATGATTTGTGATATTTTACAAATGATGTTTATTTATTTTTGCATCAATATAATTCAGTTTGTTTACTGCCTGTTATAAATGCTCAGATGTTTCTTCTCTGAAAAATAAGAGCATTTCTACAACAATGTATCCTATGAATCCGATAGACAATATGATTAGAACGATGTAAATTTTAGGTGCCATGCATAATAGACTGCTGCCAGCAAATGCAATAGAAAACCCTGCAGCTTCCCATAATCTGTAATTGGCAAAAGCAGCTTCTTCCTCTGATCGAAAAAGTACTCCATAGAAGGCTGGAAAAAAATTACAAATATTTACTCAATGTTGAGGTATATAGGAAAATTCGACATTTTTTAGAAATACGTACTATTTATCCTGCGAGATTGTATTCACGGGTAACATCCTTTACTCTGTTGAAAATTTCTGAGAATATTAAACCTAATTAACGTAAAAATTGATGCAGAATTTTTACTAAACACATTTTTCATACTTTGTATTTTGTATTAATTTAGGTCAAAATAAAAAGTATTGTATTTAGCACTTTAATTTATGGTTATGAAAAACAGTATGAAACACCAGTATCTCTTTCTGCATTAAAGGTAAAATATTACAAACGCGGCTCACTTTCAAGCAATACTTTTTTCCATTTTACACTTATTTGTTGTTATTTAGATCTAAGTGAGACAATTATTCATCATTTAGATTTCTTTAATTTACAAAATCAATTATTAATAAATTTTTGATTGTGAATGGAAAAAAAAATTTAAAACTCTTTTTTTTTTTTTTTTTTGCAGTTTAGTACAATTATCTAACAGATTTTTTTCGTAACTGTTAAACTATTTTTAATAATTAAGAATACTGAAATATTTTTTTATTTGTATTTAGAACGTCCGTAAAAAAAGGGCCACCGGTGTTCTATTTGCGTCAAATGGCGAATATGGTGCTATATATCATAATGCTGTATTTCTTAAACATGATTACACGATGGCATGGTTCAATTTGAACGGAAACCTGGCTCGATTTAACACATCATTAAGGTTGTAGCAAATTTGCAATGAGTGATTGTTCAATGTGCTGATATTATGGTTGAACATGGAGCCAATTTTCTTGAGAATTATTCAGTCTAGCTTTCTAACAGTTGAAAGGTCGTGCGTATATCCTAGAAACGTTATTCTGAAGTAAAATTTTTTTAAGAGTGCAGATTTAAACGGTAATAAATTACCGTAAAAAGTACCGGCACTCAGGGTTTCGGTACTTTTTACAGTAAATTATTTTCTACTGGAACATATTACGGAACAAAAAATCTGATAAACCATAATTTTTGCGATAATAATTACCGTAAAACTATTTTATTTGCCTTGTAGTTATTTTATTCCAAAGTTACAGTCAGAACAAATGAGTTTAAACATATGAAATTCAAGCAATGTAAGGCGATATTACTTAAGGATTTCAAATGACAACTTTAAAATGGAGCAAAGAACGGCGATGGAATAGGCAAAGACTGATTTTTGTGATACTATCAGGTTAAAAAAATACAAAACAAAACAAATTTGTTGAGTAGCTTTCAGTAAGAGATTAACGCATAAAAATATTACTTACAGTACAGCATAGTTTGCCATATACCATCACTAAGTCCCCATACACCTGCTAAAATAAAGAATACTATGTATTGGTCACTGTTAGGATGCCACAAGTGTAGAGCTGCACAGACGCCTATGTTTCCCATAAAGGCAACTGTCATCAGAATTACTCTAGGAATGTATTTTACGAGACGACCAGCTGTAATAGAGACGACTGCATCTACAATACCGTAGAATACGAAGACCAATCCTACATGATAGATTCCCCAAGCACATGCTACATAAGCCTAAAATGTAATAAAAAAATGTTAACGAAAAGTTGCTGCGTAGAATATGTTTATAAATATCATTACTAGATAACGTTACAATTCAATCATCAAAATTTTAACAATATATCACAAAGTATAGTCGAATTGTAAAACTAAATAAACTAGAAAAGAACAATTTAAACTGACGAATTATTCATTGGATTCTCCGGAAAGTAATTTCGTTTGCTACCCAGCAGAGGACTTATATTTTTTCACAGTCAACTTCTTATTTAAGCTGCATAATCGTTATATATTTTGTCAGCTGATATAGCAATGTTTGCTTGTGAAAAAGTTTCGATTGATTCTAAGCAGAGGTGTTTGGTTAGTGCCCCTATAACACTAGATTGCCCAGAGGAAGTCATTTTGACTCAAAATAAGGAAGTCAAAAAAACCCGGATCAGTATTTTTTGCCAGCTAAGAACAAAAAATTCATATGCGTAGAATCATGTACAACCGGAAAGATAGCAAAAGGTATTGGAACAGAATGACCAATGTATGATTCCGCAAAATATTTATTCACTATATTTATTCACCACAATTACTTTTAGATTTGGAAGTTCCACGTCATTCATGCTGCTGATCTAGATCTGCTCCAAGTAAATTCGGCATCTTCAATAAATTTGGAAAAGAGTCAACTGTTACAAATGGACAATGAAGCGAAAGTAAGTACACGCAAATGGTTCAAATAGCGATTGATATTTACGAGTAACAAAAAACCTTTTGTGTCATTATGCAAAAAATTCCTTAACGTTTGCTCACTTATTAGTTTCATTTAATAAACTGTATTCAATAGCCTTTGATTCGTTATATTGTTTACTGTAAGTAAAATATGTAATATTATATTTATATTGGTAAAATTAGCTTTTCATTCTAGCACTTTTCAATTTATCATTAGATGACGCTTAGCGCTAGCTTTCATTAAGGTTTCCACGTGTATCATACGGAAAGTAAAATTAACAAAGTAAATATATTTTAAATGTTGAGTTTCTTAGCGTTTGAGAAATATTGAAGAAATTTGTATTAAAAGCAGTTTTTTTTTCATTTTTAAGATATCATTGAACAGCTTTAATTAAAAAAAAGCTCATTTCTGTCTCCAAAATAAATTTTACTGATTACCGAAACAAAGTGTTTCTTTTTCTTTCCTCAATTTAATTTGTAAAGTACGTGTATGTGTAAACTTTTTTTTAAGATCATAAGCTTTCTAATCTTAAAATACAAATGCTGAATTGGATTAATACAGTTTAAATTTAATTTACCAGCGTTTATATTATTTTATACAAGCTAAAGTCAAACAGGGCAAAAATTATCCTTTAAATACCAGAAATATTTTTTCCAAAAATAAAATATCTATACACTTTAAAAAATTTTGGTTAAAAATGATATAATTCTTTGCTTAAATGTGAAACATTTTTAATTGTTTTTCTTTCAGTTTTGCTGCGACTAAAATCTTTTTTTGAAATCAGCTAATGCTATTGTGCAAATTAATCGATTAAGTTTATTTTTTAAACTACAGCATGACAAAAAAATATCGTCCGAAATAATGTTTTGGATTTATTTCTTCAGCAAATGATGCTGTAAGTTTAATACGCGAGGCATATTTAATTAAATCAAGTAGGCATAAATGTTACGTTACAGGATAATTCTATACACAATATTGCAATATTTCTGAAACTGCATGGAAACACATTAAATTCCGATTTTGATTATGTGGAATATTTTGAAGTATTGTAAATCTAAAAACAAAATGAATAGCGAAGAATAATTATAATAAATATCAAAGCTTTCGTTAAGATGACTCATAGAAGTCTGATTTACGGGAAAAATCTGCTTTAAACAGTCGAATCGATAGCAATTCGAACCTCGACTTAATAGTGAGACAGCGTAAACAAGTTATTTTAATTTAAGGTTGAAAAAATTGATATTTTGGGGATTTTTTAAAGGGCAATAGTAATCATCTTATTACTGCTGTCAATTAGAGGGCAACAAAACTGATAAAACATAAGTCTCTATTTATTTTAAAATGAATAAGAGTTATTCCATTTTTTTTAATGGCCGACATTGAAATCTCGTTTTTCGTCTCGGAAGATGCCGGAAGTGCTGCTTTTTAACGTTACCCGGTGGGCACCTGTAAACCTAAATCACGGAGGGGAGCATAATTACCCACACCACACTGCCACAGATACCACCGGGTAACCTAGGTAACCAATGTTCCTAGGGTGGGCCACATTTATACATCACACAACAAAGAACAACACACAAAAGAAACATCCATTCCCTGAGCGGGATTCGAACCCACTATCATTGGCTTCGCCTTCAGACACGCTGACTGCCCTGCCAGCTGATTGGCCATTCTATTTTTGTGTGAACTATGATTTTTATTGCATATTTCTAGATGCATTTCATTTATTTTATCTTAATTTGAGCTTATCGCTTTCTGCATTTTCTAATAGGGACATTGATTACAGTATGTTCCAAAATTTGACCCCCAAAAAAATTTCAGAGATAATTAAATAAACCAAAAAGAGGAAAACTACTCTTCGAACATGGAGTTGCAAATCGCGTTGAGAGGGTGAAAATCGCAGAAAACCCATGCAGGATTTTTCGTTTCTCAGGTGAACAACTACAGCTGATACGAAAACCTACCAAAAATATTTATTTGATTAATTATTACTAGAGATATTCTTTCTGCTGATGTCATTGCACAGTCTACAACGACATCAAACGCTTCGCGCTCGAAGATACCCGATAAACTTTTCATGTTTTCTATGCTAAGACAATCTAGTTTTCAAATTTGAATGGGTTTCTCACGGTTTTCACAATGTTAATATATTTCACCATCACTCTGAATTTGTCTGTCGGATTTTGGAACCACCTACATAAGTTCCATCTGCAACTGGACAAAAGTGAAGTTTTCCTACTATTCAAATAAGAGTTAGAAATCATACCTTTGTGAAATCTGCAAGAATAAAACCTTGTTCCACTCCACTAAAAACAGTTAAAGGCAGCAACAATAGCTGTTTCAGATTTTTCAGATGCTTTAGTGTGGCAAGAATTCTGGAAGTCACACTTTCCAAATCATCAACATTTTTCCGTTGCACTGTATCTAAGAAAAATGCCATCACTAGGACAGCCGCACCGACGCACAGCAAGTAAATACCAACTAAATTATTCCTCTTTCCTTCACTGGGTACTTTCAAATTCTCATTCGCTTCGAAACAAAAGTTAATACCACATTGAAAAGACTCATTGTAATTGTTAATTAAGACAAAAGTTTCATTTCTACCATCTTCTGTTGGTCTCAGAACGAAAAACGACACTAAATTACTCCATACCTGAGTACTTTGAAACACTAAGAAAAAGATACCAAAAAATCTAGCCGTCACCACATCGTCTGAATCGGAACTTTGATGTGCGTACAGACCACTTATCTCGTTCACATATGTGCATTGTGCTGACCATAACATAGTACCTGCTATACCTAAGATAATGGATGCTGGTACAAATGTAGACATGTTTGGGTAAAAGTTTGCGCCAATGTACGGTGAGTACAAAAAAGCACTCATTACTAAGGTAGTCTTACAACCGAATTTTCGGATGATGAGCTTGGGTAGAAATAAAGATGCTACTATCATAGATGCGTAAACGACACTTTGTGATAAGACGCCGACATTGTCTTCTGTGTTCAGAGTGCTTTGCAGATTTGCTGTTCCTTGGTACGCAGTGAAAAGGAAGAGGAAGCCTAAGCACAATACTAGAAGATTTTTCAGTATGCGAAGTTTCGACATGGGTGGTTGAGCAATATCGACCTTGAGCTTTGAATCTTCGTGAAATTTTGCCCCATTGGTTGGTATATCATTTTGGTAAGACTTCACTGAATATTTGTCCTTCATTTTTCACCTAAAATAATAAAGAAAAACATATCAAGTACAATACAGGATGCAATACAAATTTTGTGCTTACGTATGGTAAAGCACAAAATTCTTTACCACTTTCTGAATTACTCAATGAAGACATATGACATTTGTGTTTTGATTGATTGCAAAGCAGCTCTACATTTTCATTTTAGCTAAAATGTATTGAGAGGCGTAATTAAATTATTTTACTTCAATTCTTTGTTCTATTCTTCATTTTACTCAACTTTCTTGAAGCACCTTTTTGGACTTAGATGAATTCCGAGACAGCACATTTCACGTTAAGAAAAAATATTTGAAGTAAGAAAAAATTACTTTTCCCAAAAAAGTTGAAGATTTTTGTATATACAGATTGAATTTTGTATGTGAATCGCAACAATCATCATCTATAGATGGATTTAAAAAATGCGACTTCTTTTCTTAGTTAAGTTGTAACGTAGTACTGAATATACATAATAATGGGCTATTGATGACACTTTTTTCTAAGTAGTAGCAGTGCTCTATTTATGTCGCACTAGAGCTGTATAATGAAGTATTGGCGGTAGTCTGGGAAACGTTCCAGAGGATGAGCCATGACAATTTTGATCCTCTGCAATGAATGACTCCTCCCTTTGGTAGCCTTGAACAGTTTACTGTTGAACAGTTTAACGAGGACCAATACCGTGCATCCTCTGCACCTTTGCATGCTGATCAAAGTGATCACCAACCCGCTTACTGATTTCTATCAGTGTTGTCTGAATCCGATTATTTACTAGGAACCTTGTATTTCAATCAATTCACAGTGGAGCATTTTTTTCTTAGAAATGAAGCAAAATGAAGTTAATTTCCCCCCTCAATATTTAACAAAATTAAAGGCAGAAATTCTATGGTTATTCAAGTGAAAAGTGTACGCGTGTGATAGTGCCAAAATCCTCCCGGTTTCTAAATTAAGGTAAGAGAAAGGTAATTTATTATACTTAGTTTATGTATAACAGATTAACCAGTTCACATGAAACCATTTTAATTGAATGTAAAGTTTAGCCATGATAAATGTGACTAGAATAGGACAACTCACAGGAGCATTACTTCTAGTAGCCGAAGAGGAGCGGAATGTGGAAGGTAATTTGTTATACGCAATTTACGTATAACAGATTAACCAGTTCACATGAAACCATTTTAATTGAATGTAAAGTTTAACAAAGATGAATGTGACTAGAATAGGACAACTCACAGAATTTACTTTTTTTTTATTTATTTTAGGATCTATGAAATAGATTTAACTGTACAAAAAATGTTGCATAAAAATAACTTACGGTATATCCTCACATCAAGGTGTAATTAACCTATTCTTTGCAAAATTTAACAAGGAAAAACTCATCGAAAGTGAGTTCACAAATTTCGACACAATTCCAATTACATAAACAAAACATTTTAGAACGAAAAATGACTAATAGTGGCATCAATTCTTGTCTCAATTATTATGTTTGAAGTTGATATTTTTGATGACATTCTTGCTTATCTAGCTGTTATCGCCTGAATTGTCTTATCACCTTTTATAGTATTTTTGTATTTTATTGTTATTTACCCTAATAGTACATGTAATAATTAATAATACTTAAATAATCTAAGGCAAAGATAATTTTTAACAATTCTTAATGTAGTATTATTGTTGATATTGAATGATATTCGAATAATATGATAAATATTTGAATATTATGATTAACTTTATTTGTTTTCATCATGATTAACTTCAATTGTTTTTCAAAGATAAGTAAGATTATAAAGAAACTGGAGTTTGTTAAATAACTGTTATACTAATGCTTAGAGTTACTGGTCCGTTAACAATCAACTATCTCCTTTTTTTCTAAAAACAAAAAAAAATGGCATAATTTTAATAGTTAGCATCATACCTCTTAAGAATTTATTTAATTAGGACAAAATGATAAATGATACTACGTAACTCAGAAAAGATGGCTGATTTTAAAAATCAAAAGAAATTCGGAGGTATATATAAATATACGGTTTTCTCTACGTTCTGCTTAAAAAAAACAGAAAATTCATTCTCAGCAAATTTCGAAGCTAGTTAAAAAATCCATCAACAGATGGCACTACTAAATTAAACTAATATATAATGCTCCGTGGTAGACTATTTCAATTGAAATATTTGTTTTTATTTTTCTACTAACCTCGCTTCGTTATTTATGCAAATGGTTATTATTTCGAAAACTTTGTTTTATAGTTATAGTTTTTCTCAGCTATATGTTGACAAAATTTATACCTAATTTGAAACTAGTCGAGAATAAATAATAGTTTCCTAAGTAAAATGCAGCAAAATGAAACTTTTCTGTCTCCAACATCACGTTTCTTTAACACAATTTTCAAATCACAATTTTCAAACATATGTCTTGATTTAGAGATAAAGCTGTTAATTTTTAAGCCTAAATTTGTAGTTAATAAAGAATAGATACTAACTATTTTCACCCAGAAAATAATACCACATTTTAATATTTGCACTTTCTGCATCAATGCAGGTCTTTGAATATGAACAGATTGTTAAAAGATATACTTAATTGGAATTAATAAATAAAATAATAAATTTTTTCAAAATAGTATTCATTAAGTTCTTTTCTAAAAAAAATCATGAAATGTCCATATAATTTAAAATACTGCATTTTAATTATTTCCAAAAGTCATTTTTTCATAAGAGATAAGAATTTGCCCATAAAATCTAACAAAATATTTATTATTATTATTCTTGTATATTATGTTTATTATTGTAATGAAGCAGCTTGACAATTAACAAAATCGATTACTATTACTAAATTCTTATCGATTACTATTATCATTTTTACCGTAAAAATACATTAAAAATTAAGTCAATCACTATTATTGAATCATATGTATCGGTATAAATATTTTTATTACAAAAATAGATTGTACTTTAAAAAAAATTGATTACAGTTATTGAAATCTTATGCAAAGTGACTGTCATTTATACTGTAAAATTAAAAAAAAATAAGTCTATTACTATGATTGAATAATTTGTAGAAGTATTATCATTTTTATTACGAAAATATAATGTACCTTGAAAAATTAATCAATTATTGAATCCTAAAATGTACCATATTAATTTTAAAATAAATTTATTACAATCACTGAAATATTACGTACAGGTATTATCATTTATATTTTAAAAATAAAAGAATGTATTTAATTAAATAAATTAAAAGTAAATGTAATAATCAAATAAATTAAAAATTAATTAATTTATAAATGGATTATAATCTGAATCAGAGTCTAATAGTAAGGGATCTAATTATAATATTAATAATATTATTCGATCTAATAATAATGGATTATAATCTAATCAGAAATCTTTTGTACAGGTACTATTATTATTTTATTATCTAACATTCAAATAATGTTTTTGCAATCTAAACTAATGTAATCATTACACCTGACTTTCGTTAATGATTTTATCTGAAATTGATCTTTAATTCAATCTTTTAAGTGAAGATGTATTATTTGTCTCTTTATTTTTATTATTATTCTTTTTTTGCGCTAATCAATGTAGAATTTTTTTTCTCTGACGCCGTCAAATCTTTTTTTTGTCTGTTGATAAAATATCATTTATTGCATTTGAAAGACAAGTAGCTATAAAACTTTTTATCAGAAACCACATCTGTAAAAAGACATACATTTTTTATTTGTTTTTATCAAAAATGATAAAAGAGAGCTTATATAAATTCTTATATACATTCTTATGGATTTTTATATTTTTTTAAGTATATTACCGTCCGAACTAGAGTCCCAATTAAACTATGTCGGTAGTTCGTTCAAAAATTTAATCTCTCTTTACATATCATAAAAAAGAATTTATCTTACTGTTTAGTGGATTCTCATTGGAGAGAAACGTCACATGATATCGTCGTTAATAAAGAAATAAAATCCCAATATCTTTGGTCGTCCTCAACGTAAAATTAAGAAAAGTGACAATGGTGTTTACCTGCAAATCACTTATTTACTCCTTTTTTTTAATGGTTCATTAAGAAATATTTAAATATTGTTCTGTTTTTTGCTGCGTAATTATATATAATGATATCTGTTTTTTCGCGTATTTATATATTGATATCTGTTTTTTGCCGTGTAAGACTTATTATTCTGCTTCTTCCTCTTTTTCTATTAATTCTATTTCTTCTTCTACTTATCCTTCCAAATCTTCTTCTCTCTATATATGTCCTTCTACTACTTGTCTTTCTACTTCTTTTACTTCTTCTTTTAATCTTCATCTTCCACTTCTATTCCTTCTATCACTACTACTTCTCCGTTATTTACTTCCTCTTCCCCCTTCTTTGATAACTCTTACTTAAAAAGTCCAAATTTGAATATTGTGTTCATTCTTTGCACAGATTTAAAAGCACATTTAGGGTGGTGATTACGAAACATTCGGCATCTTAATTACTTTGATTTATGCTACATTTAATTATCCTTTATTGTACCCCATAATATTGTCTTATCTTTCTAGTGAAGAAGGGTAAGCTTTCAACCAGAAACAAAATATGAAATTTCTGAAATATTACATCTACGGCCTTTTTGATTGTTAACCTATTATCTGAAATAATGAGACAAATTAGAAATTTTGTTATTTACTGAAATTTGAAGCCTTTAAAAATATAAATCCAAAAAGAAGACAATTCTATATACATTTTCTACATTTACTAATTCCATATTCTTCCTAAAAACGAGTTTCATATGTCCTTCTTGTTACACACACAGTTATTTAAAAGCGAGCGTGATTATTGAAATCAGAAACATACTTTCACGAAGGAAAGAGGCAAGGTTTTCGAATATTTAATTACAGTCAAACCCCGCTATAGTGAACATGGTTTATAGTGAACTCCCGGATATAGTGAACCAAAAGAAGAGAGGAAATCGGATATTATGAACTTTTTTTCTGCCTTCGACTGATTTTTTCCTTCGTTTCTTGGTAATTTTGAAATTTCTTCATAAAACACATATACCGATTTTTAAAACCATCTATTGAGTGGAATGGCCGACCGACCTGTGTAGGGGTTAGGGAACTACCCTTGCATCAGAAAGGTTTAGGTTCGAATCCCGGGCAAGGCATGAGTGTTCTTTCCTTCTCTGTATTACCTGTCCTTACTGTGGGAGCAACGTTGGCCCACCTAGTATGGTGACCCTGAAAGAGTGTCCGACAAAACTGCACTTCAGACAAATCTGCCTGTATGACGTAAGTAATTCCCCAGGTGGGCATTGGAGAAAAAAAGTTGAGTAGAATGTAGCCATAAGCATTTTTTCTGTTTGCTTCTTCTATCTCAGTTTCCCATCCCTAAATAAAGGCCATCCCTAATTCTTTTGTACGCAAAACAAAGAGTAATAAAAAATATAAGTTAACGCATTTTTTGTTACTACATATTGTTTCATCATTTTTGTATTTTTACTGGTCATTTATTTTAATAATATGTAATAAAAAGGAGCAGTTCGGAAAATTAGTTAAAATTGTTTGCAGTAGGGGAGAGTGGGGTCAATTGTAACAATTTTTACTTAACTATTTTTAACTAACGAAAAATCCAATATATTATTAGTATTAATTGACAGACGAGTAAAGTAGGCTATCCTCTACTAGAAAAAAAAAATACCTGATTTTAAATATTATTATATTAGTTATTAAAAATTTTTGACAGTCGTGCAGTTGTTACAATTGTCCCCACTTACGGGGTCAATTGTAACAGTTCATAAATTCAACTAAAACATAGTTAATTATACATATTATCATAGTTGTGATATATTTTTTTATTGATCAAAATAGTAGTGATATTTTAGGAGTAAAAATAATAATGAGCAGAGACCTAAAGGGTTAAACTTTTAACTTTAAGGGGTTAAAAATTTTAATTTATGCTGTGAAAGGTGACAAATAAAATAATGCACATGCAACATAATATAAATGATATAGGAAACTATTGGTGGTTCTTAAAGAGTTAAGTAATGGTTTGTAAACATAAGATTATTTATTTTCAGCTGTTACAATCGTCCCTTTACTTATTGTTACAATTGTCCCCAAGACGCCATTTCAGCTTCATTTGTTAAAAACAATGCTAGTTAATTAGCAAAACTAATTTTTTTTTTATTGAAATGTTAATTAAAGTGTCCACTTACATATTCGGTTACTAATTTTTATTTGTTTAAACAAAATTACTTTGTTACAATATAATATTCTAATACCAAAAAAAGTACTTGCGTGGCGTGAAAATATCTTTTGTGATGTAACTCTTTCAAAAGTACATAAAAATGGTTGCCAGCAGGGGTGTACATGTAGATTTATTAAATACACCTTGTGCGCCACCTAGGAACCAAATCTAGAACCCGACACTCGAAATTTTTGCTCTGTTACAATCGTACCCTGTTACAATTGACCCCACTCTCCCCTACGGATATAGTGAAC